GAATGGTTACTTGCTATGAAAGAAGAACTATCCCACTTTATTAGGCTAAATGTTTGGGAACTAGTACCTCGACCCTCTAACATCACTGTTATAGGCACCAAATGGATCTTTAGAAATAAATCTGATGACCTTAAATACATAATTAAAAATAAAGCTAGACTAGTTGCCCAAGGTTACAATCAGGAGGAGGGAATAGACTATGATGAAACCTTTGCTCCTGTAGCTCGACTAGAATCAATTCGTCTTCTCTGTGCCTATGCAAGCTATATGAATATCAAACTATTCTAAATGGATGTGAAAAGCGCATTTCTAAATGGTGAAATCAAGGAGGATGTTTATGTTGAACAGCCCCCTAGATTCACTGACTCTGAATTTCCTGATCATGTTTACAAACTATCTAAAGCTTTATATGGCCTCAAACAGGCTCCTAGAGCCTGGTATGAAAAATTGACTTCTTTTCTGATTTCGCAAGGGTTTTGTCAGGGTGGAGTAGACAAAACCTTGTTCATAAAATGTAAAAACTCTTACTCATTAATAGTTCAAGTGTATGTGGATGACATTGTGTTTGGAAGCACTGACCCTGTAATGTGTGATGAATTCTGCTCTACTATGAAAAACAAATTTGAGATGAGTCTTATGGGAGAATTAAATTACTTTCTTGGCCTGCAAATACACCAAACTGACCTAGGCATCTTTATTCATCAGACTAAGTATCTTCAATCCATGCTGTCTAAATTTGAATTAACTAAGGTGAATTCTTGTAAGACTCCCTTAGCCTCTAATACTCATCTAGATTATGATTTGGTAGGGATTCCTATGTGTGAGAAAAGGTATAGAGGAATGATTGGATCCTTGCTTTATTGAACAGCAAGCAGACCTGACATACAGTTCAGTGTCTGTCTATGTGCCAAGTTCCAACACCAACCTAAGGAAAGCCACTTAACTGTTGTAAAACGAATATTTAGATACTTAAAAGGAACTAGTGATCTTGGTCTGTAGTACCCCAAGTCTGATTCTCCTTTACTGATAGGGTATTCTAACTCTGATTTTGATGGAAGCATTACTGACAGAAAAAGTACCAGTGGTACATGTCAGTTCTTTGGCCAGTCTCTTGTGTCCTGGCCGAGTAAAAAACAGGGGTCTGTCGCATTGTCCACTGCAGAGGCCGAATATGTGGCTGCAGGGAGCTGCTGCACCCAAATTTTGTGGTTGAAATCCCAACTTCGTGATTATGGTCTTGATTTTGAACATATCCCTATCCTCTGTGATAACACTAGTGCAATTTGCATGTAAAAAACTTTGTCCATCATAGTAGAACTAAGCATATAGAAGTAAGACACCACTTTATTAGAGATATCATACAAGCTGGACACATAGAACTCAATTTCATATCAACTGAATTCCAAATTGCGTATATATTTACCAAACCCTTGTCTTCTAAACGATTCATTCGACTTTGTGGGGAACTTGGTCTACAATCACTTCACTCAGTTCAAGGCAATCACTAAATCAGGTTCTGCTTTTCCTTTATTACTGTACTTGCTTACTAGTTTATTAATTGCTTAATGTATGTCATCTAAATTTTCGAAATCTATCCCAGTTCATGCATGTGGTGTTGGGTTTTTCAATGGTCTGTGGTTTTCATCATTAAGAATTTATTACTGCATCTCTTCCCCTCCTGTCTTGCCTATATATTTTCTCCTCCCTGTAATCCTTCTCTTCACTTCCCACACACCTCATCTATCCTCTCATCATGACTGAGTTATTCACCTCCTCCAACATTCCTGGTGCCATAGTTACATATGTAGGAAGAACCTTCAATGAGCCCGTTGACTTCAATCTCCACCGATTCAAAGAATTCTATGCTTCCCGCCCTCTTGCTGATCCCATTTCCCTCGACCTATTTGAATTCAAATCCCATGGGATTGACATTACTCCGTTCATCCGAAACCTGGGGTGGGAATTCTTACTTCACTACCCGCCTCTTTCTGCTTGTCCTCTTCCAGTCCGAACCTTCTATGCTAATCTAGACTGCCAGGGGATCACTACTAGAAAACTCACCACCATGGTTAATGGTTACTTTATCTCCCTTACTTCGGAAGCTATTGGCCTTCTTCTGAATCTTCCCATTGGAGGACCCCTTCCCTTGGCTCATGAAGATGAGTTCTTGTTTTATGACTTTGACCATGTGATTGAGTATTCTCGGATCACTCAACGACCAGTAGGAGCCCATGAAGTAATCACCTCTGCTGATCTGAACCCCACCCTACGCACTCTTCACAACTTCATTACCCATCTTTTCTTACCTAGAAATCATGGCCTTCACATTGTCACCAAGATAGATCTCTGGGTGCTGTCAAATGCCCTCACTGGTAGAAAGATTGACTATTCTCAGCTGTTGTTTGGATCGATGGTTCGAAGTGCTGACGCTCACCTTGCGGGCGCCTTCCCTATGGTGGCTTCATTACCCTTCTCCTTTCCAATCTGGGCATTTCTCTTGATGGGTTCTCCACTATGGACATATCAGTCTCGATCCCGGCCCTCACTATTTTACAGGTTATTAGAGTTGACCCTCAGCCTTCAAAAGGGGGAGATATCTCTGGACCAGCAGTAAAGAAAATAAAACCTTTCTCCAAGTGAATCAATCTCGGTGAAACTTCCTCTGTGTGCAAAAACCTTATCATCTCGATTGAAGACAACCTGAAACCATATCTGAGAGAGACATTAGACTGTTTGCTGAAGACCTTGAGAGAGACTTAATGGAAGGAGCTGCTAGTACTCAAGTGGAAAATGTGATTGAGGAAGAAGCTGGAACTCAGGGGGAGACTTAGGACATTCTTCCTGAGAAGGCAGAAATTTAGAAAGCTGAATCTTAGGGGGAGTCAGGGGAACTTTCAATAAAAAACAAACAATCTTCTAAGAAAAGTGATCTTAGAAAAATAAAAGTCGTCAGTAGTGGTTTATGTTCTGTCTTGTTCTGTGTCTTAAGTATGCTTAACCATAAGACCATAATGGTCTACTTGTGTGCCCTGTTTGTTAAGACCATAATGGTCTAAGTATGGTTCCTTTGCTATGTCTTAGATTAATTGCATCGTGTGTCCTGTCGTTTAAGATTATCATGGTCTAAATAAATTGCTGATTCTCGTTGCTTTTGCAAGGCAAAATGTCCGGTGGAATACATCTTGAGATTCAAGTCCACTTTATATATATATACTGGTATGCCTGCAGAACTCTATGCTTTGATAATGCTTTTACTGCTGGCAGGGATAAAGACTTGAACGCAGGGGGAGATTGTTGGGCCTTGTGTCGTGTCTTACAAAGAACCAAAAGGCCCACTATCACATAAGCCCACCTGATCCTGTCGCTTCATCTTTTGTAACCTCGTCAAGAGCCCGTTTACGCATCTTCGCCTTTACCCCTATCATTAGTGTCATCAAAGTCCGTCGATCCCTCAACCCTGAGTTGCCTGTGCATCGATCGTCGCCATCATCAATTCTCCTTAAACGGTAACCAGCATTGAAGAAGAGAGACAGAAGATTGGCATGACTGGTGTTATATAAAGACCTCACGAGGAAGAAGAACGACAACAGTTTCCTTGACTCAGTAAGAACGGATTTGTTCCTTGGGAGTCTCTGAATTGGGTTCGGTGTTTGTGTCTGGATAGCTTGAGTTGGGGCGTTCTGCCGAGAACTCAAGCCTATCTGGGCGTGGCTACTTCTTGTATTTCCCTTCGGTTTTATTTACTTCTAGTTTTGATTCTGTTCTTAGAACCCTAGACTTGAGTTAACTAGGTCTTCACTGTTAATCTTCTCTATCTAAAAGAAATTATTCCCTTGCTGAATAGAATCATTGTTTCAATCACTTGATTACATCTGTTGAGGATATGGATGTGAGTACATAGCCAATCAACACTAACTGGCTATTTCTTTTGTATCCCTTTGATCCGTGTTAGTCTTTAACGTCTACCTAATCATGACGCCCTTTGTTAACTCTTGCTTAGCCCTGTTTCGATTACTTTCTTGTTTGCATGGTTTCACCAATCTATTTCTCACTCGATTTCTCACCTCCGGGCCAACGCGATGGGAAAAGAGAACAGTTTTAAGGAAGACTGAGTTCCTTTCATCATTAAGTTCAGTTCATGTTGGCTGGTCTCCTCTGCCCTGAAAGTGAAACTTGCATTTAGTTGATCTGTTGCATCTTTGCATCCATGCTCTGTAAAAAAATGAAAAGACCAAGTATTGACCTTGATTTTTGCATGCCGCTGGAGGATCGGCAAAGGCCTGGAGGTCCTGGTCAATCTTCCCGCACTGGAGCACCCGTTGCTGCTCGTGCCTGAGAAAAAGAAGATCATGTTCTCTCTCTTCCGGTTGTTATTAAGGATATTAAGTAAAAGAAAATGTATTTATTTTATTTTTTATTCTTCCTGTACGTTTCCCACTCCCTTTCTGTTCCTCTCTTCTAGGAACGTGGGTATCTCCTCTGTTGTATATTAGTTAGCGGCACAGGTCAAGAGAATCAATGTATCACAGATTTTTTCTCCACAATTATTTCCTCTCTTCTCAAAACTTCTACAGTTGTTCTTAGAATGAGAAACTTGGAATTGCACAGAGATTCACTGCTTCATAGTTTATTTAGTTGTATGTTTAGCTCGTTCAAGTTACAATCAAGCTATCGAGGAAGCAGCCGCATTCTGAATTGACTCAGTTTTGATCCCTTGACCGTGATATATAGAGTCCGAGCGGGAGTAGGAAATCCTAGTCCGAGATGCCAACGGACTTGCTTTTCCTTTTCCGCACCGGAAACCAGATTGAAGAAAGGAAACCGCAGAAATTGAGACGACCCTGATAAATAGTGTTTTCTACATCAGTCCCTTGCTCAGCTCTCATCCAATTGCGAAGTAAGCCATCCTCCAGCTCGTTTGCTTTTTTATTCTTCACCGGCACAAACTCTTCTGCCAATCCCGCAAAAACACTCCTCCAAACAAACAGTAATTACTGAAAATGTCGACAGTGGCGGCATCCGCAAGGGCAGAAACAGGAAGTCACGATTCTCATAGTGATACCACCACCGCAACCAGCATCGGCGTCAACAACAAAAACCACTACGACATATTCGTTTCTCTCCAGCCCGCCGGCGGCCCTCCAACACCAATCTCCAACGACTCCACCTCTTCCCAAGTACTCCTCGTCACCCAGGTAGATCGCGTTTACCAGCCCCGCGGCACCACCACAACTTCAACAGCGAAATCATCATCATCACTGCCCAGGCAGATAGTGGTGGAATCACATCGCTCCAGATTCACAATCCCCACCGACGACGACTCGTTCGGCGTCGAGTCCGTCTCCAAGAACATGGTGTGTTCGAGTTTGAACCTCCCCTTCCCGTTGGAGAACAACATCCAGTGGAGATCGCTACCATCTTAGCCGTCGTGGCCCAGAGTAAAGACCAGAGCAGAGCTGGCCTCCCACATCGTTAAATCCGCGCACGGAGTCCAGCGGCGGATCCAGGACACGGTAGAACACTGGGCCCGCATTTCATTAGAAAATTAAATACCGTATAAAAATCATAAATTTTTTTACTATATCAATTGTACACGTAGATCTTTTTAAATTTTAATATAGTGAATTCATCAATAATGGATTCTACATCCATACCAATAACATATCTTTAAGATAAAATAGTTAACCAATTGGCGAGAAATTCATCGCTCATTTTATTACGTAGATAATTTTTCACCTATTTCATTTGTGAAAATGTTCTCTCCGTAGTTGTTGAAACGAGCAATGTCAACACTACACAAATCAATCGACTAATCAATATATATATATATATATGGTGGCTTCTATGGTACCCCGGGTGAAATCCGGGGTACCGCATACCTCGAGTATGGAAACTCTATCTAGACCTCGAATTACCAGGATTTTTGTGTATGATATTATACCCTAACCCTTAATGAGTGAACCCTAGGTCATAATTATCTAAATCATAATCTATAAACCCTAAGATGGTGCATTCCTTTTTGTGCCTATATTTGGATGGATCATAACCGTCGATTATTATTTCTAATTAAATTGATCTTGGAGTATAATATTGGGAGAGTTAACACCTAGATTTTGATCTTTAAGTGTTAGAGTATAGTATCATGTTCGAAAGATCGGTCAATTCAAGGTTTAAATAGTGTTTTCATACTCAAGGTATGCGGTACCCTGGATTTCACCCAGGGTACCGTAGAACTCGCCATATATATATATATATATATATATATATATATTTTGTGTCAATCCCTATTTTCACCGGCTACTCTAGTAATTTTTCAAGTGAACAAACCTCATATTCCTTTTAATCTTTTAATCTTTTACGTTTTTTACTTTTTTACTTTTAGGTTTTATTGCTTGTTTTTCTTTAGGCGAAAATCATTGGAGTTAGAATTTTCAGGTTAAATTTAGAGCTCTGTTTTGAATATGTTCATCTGACCCATTTTCCTAATTACACACAATCTTATTATAAAATAACACTGGGCCGAATGACTACAACCGATAAACTAATAAGGGCTATACTAGTTTCGGATCTAGAGGAGGGCTGGGCCGTGGCCCGGGGTGGCCTCCCCCTGGATGCCACTGACGGAGTCATGGCAGGAACCAAACGCCGTTACGGTTCTGATGACGAAGGGAAGAAAGTAGAGGTCAAGATGGTGATGAACATTGCAAAGAAGATCAAAGTCGGAGAGGCAGAGTATCAGCAGATATGCAGGGCGCAACAAGAGGGACAGGCAATGGATGACCTGGAGAAGTTTCTGATCCGCTGCCAAGATCATCTCGCTGCTTCTTCACGAGGAAAATCGGGATTCGAGAGGATGTCGGTGGACGAACTGAAGCGTGTGGCCGAGGAGCACGTGATTAGGGTTAGCAATGGCGTACTGATGAGTATGTCGGATCGAGGCTCGATGATCGATTCGATGTCTTGGAGAGCTTGGAATGAGTGGGGATGATTGCTGGTTTCCAGACTCGAGAATGCTCTCGTGGAAGTGGAGGCGGATTCGAGTGGTGGTGGGGAGTGCAGCATCTGCTTGGCTCCGAAAGTGAATTCAGTGGTGCGATTGCCTGATTGTGTCCATACTTTTCACAGGGACTGCGTTCTTCAGTGGCTCGTGCACCACACGCCCAATTGTCCTCTGTGTCGCTCCTCTGCTTTACCATCTTTGTACCGCCGTTAGATTTATTTATGGTTATGTTTATGATTAAAATGTAATATGTAAGGACTGCTATTGAGTTTAAATAAATGATCTATGCTGGATGACACTGTTCAAAGGGTGAATGTTGTTCATAGTGTCGTGACTGATCATGTGGTGGTCCTCATCTGAGCTATAATACTTTTTTCGCATTAATTTTTAAATCAAAATTCAAAAATTACTTATAAATGAATATGATTTTGTGGTTTCCAACGAATCCATTTTATCTATGCAAAAAAAATTAGAAATCCAAATGAAAACGAACAAAATACAAGCTGATTGGAAAAAAGTAATAAAAACAAAAGATCTTTTAACTTCACATCTTAGATCTGAACTCACTCAAACACAACAGGCTAATATGATTACATTTTCAACAACACGCTACCTGCGATTAGTTCGGGTCCTTAAGCCTAGAAACTTAAGAAGAATCTTAAGTGATTTCTATTCCCTGAAAGTATAATAGGCAGTTAATATTTGGTTAGTGGTTACAGAATAGTTAAAGGTAATTAGGGCATTAGAGCATTTTTAAAATTAATTAACGGAGAGTTGCCGGATTTTAAGGAATTCATTATGTTAGGGTTTTTCAATTTGTAATACTTTTATTCTGCATTAATGTTTGGACTTTGCTACGGTGACATGCATGTCACGGTGACATGCACTTTTCGGTCTATCTCATATAGGATTAGGTAGACCTAATCTGTTGTTTCAGTGTAAAAACAGTTTTATGGTGTCTACTTTGGAGGTTCATATCTTACAATTGGCTAGATGGAAATTGGAGATTAAAGGCTTGTTTTGAAGCTGAAGTGTCCCTCTACACATTATAGTACTTGGGAGCTCAATAGAAAGTCCAGAAGACCATTTTTGAACCTGACCAAAAGGCTATGACAAAACTGGGAAACTACCTGAAAATCGCCAAGTCTGGCAACGTGTTTGTCAAGCCTACTTTGGAGCTCAATTTGAGAAGTATGGATGCGAGTCAAGTCCAGGGGCCTCTACCACGTTAAATGACGTATTTTTTTTAATACAAAGGCAAGGCATTGGATGAAAGATTGAATATCTTTAAGGCTTCAAACAAAAGGCTCGAAATTGCTACGAAGGCTGTTTTTCTGGCAGCTTGCTTGTGCTTGAAGTCTGCCAGAAAAACAGCCTTTGTAGCAACTTCAACCCTTTTGTTTGAAGCCTTACAGATATCCAATCTTTCATCCAATGCCTTGAATTTGTATAAAAACATACCTAATTTAACGTGGTAGAGGCTCCTGGACTCGACTCGCATTCATGTTTCTCGAATTGAGCTTCAAAATAGACTTCACAAACACGTTTCCAGACTTAGCCATTTCCAGGTAGTTGCCCAGTTTTGGCATAACTTCAAAACAAGTCATTAGTCTTCAATTTTCATCTAGCCAATTGTATGATATGAATATCCAAAGTAGGCAACATGAACTGTTTTTACACTGAAACAACAGATTAGGTCGACCTGATCCTATATGAGGTCAACCGAATCCTAAATGAGTTCGACCAGATCCCATATGAGGTCGACCGAATTCTAAATGAGGTCGACATAATCCTAACTGAGGTCGACCGGAAAGTGCAAGTCACCGCGACATGCATGTCACCGTAGGCACACCCTTACTAACCATAATATTCTGCGTATTAGAGCGATGCAATTTTTTTATATGGAAAGCGATACAATTTTTTAATGATTGTAGTAAGACATTATTATATTAAAAGCGTAGTGTTATTAACCACCATCAGATATGATCATTATCAATTATCTTAAATATAATTAAAGCCATAAGAGGTTTACTGTTGCACAAGAGGTTTGCTAATTTGTGTTGGGGTTATTTTTCTTGGGTCACAGACATAGACGTAGGCTAGGAAGTACATTCCTCAATTATAAAACCTTCATGAATTTCAGGTGGCGCCTCCTTAATGCTTTCTCATGTTATGCAAGATTCTATGACCAAGTAAAAATTAATTATTCTTTAGATAAAGTAACTGGCTAATCCTGGTTAAGCCCGTTGACCCGATCAAGTAAGTTGGTTAAGAGTTAATGGTTCGATCATTTTAATTCGGTTTAGCTCGGATATATGAAAAAAGTTATTATATTTTTCATACGTGTATTAATTATATATCAAATATCATCTAACATATGAGTAATAATTTCAAATAATATTACATCAAAATAACATGTCATACTTGGATCCAACAGATAGGGAAAATTCACGCACAGTTATATAACATCAATATTCAAATATTAGAACTGAACAACCGAATTACGAACCCGGATAGAACTTTCTCCTCCGTCCCGTTTCTGGACGTCGGCACCTCGCCGGTCGTCTTCTCCGGTAGCGCGCGCTCATCGCCGCTGCCTTTCTACTCTTATTCTTGTTCTTGTTTCGATTAGCTTGATGGCGGTACCTCCGAGATCGTGGGCGGAATTGTTCGTAATTGCGGAGTAGAATCACTTGGTTTACATAGAACCAGAGATTGTAGACGGGGGCCTTCAAATCCCTGCAGAGCTTGAGGAAGAGGGGATTGCTCGATGGAAAGCTTGTCTAGTGGGTCAATTCATCACAAGTTCTCCACACATTCGTCAAGTCCAAGCCTGGGCCAATCGATTGTGGGTGGGGGGGGGGGGGGGGGGGGGGGGGGGGGGGGGGGGGGGGGGGGGGGGAATTAGGGTTTCTCGGCTCGGGAATAATCTTCTCCTCTTCCAATTCCCAACGGAAGCAGCTGCTCACTGGGTTTTCACGAGCGGGCCATGGCACCTTAGGGATTCTATGTGCTACCTAAGGAAGGGGCTCCTGGATTCGTGCAGAGAAGCCTCGTCCGTAAGTGCCAATCTTGATCAAGTTTATTGATCTGCCATTGGAGTATGTCTCTGGAAGGGTTCTTACTCGATGGGTAGTATGATTGGAAATCCTCTTTGGTTTGATAAATCCACTCGCCTAGGACGCAGAATGGGGTACCCGAGGGTATGCATTGAGCTTAGTGTTGATTCAAATTTTCCTACAGAATTGAAGCTGGTTCCTGATTGAAAGCCTCCTCTATTTTTTCAACTAGAATACTGTAATCTGCCAGACATCTGTATGAAATGTCATCAATTTGGCCATGATTGTGAAACTGTGCAACATAAAGAGGTAAGAGGTAATTCCTGTTGAGGAAGAGGTGGGTGTAACTGCTGATGTTCAGAAG